ATTTTTTCTTCACTTTTGTTATACGACGCAAGTTATCTGATGGAGACGCTGTCTCTCAGCCCCCAGTCCCTATAAAGCCTTTGCCCGCCGCTAGTGCGGTTACAGAGAAGGAAGAGGGGGGAATGGCAGGTCGTTGGTAAGGTCAAAGGGAAGCTGCGGGCAGCGGGACCTCGTTCAAATGAAGTCCCCGCGGCTAAAGACACGCACAGCTCCACTACCTCTAGCAGTTCAAAGGGCGACTCTTCGGCCACTTATTCGGACAAACTGCGGCAACAGCTCAAATGCGAGTCTTCTATCGAGAAAAAGGAGAAAATATTAAAATTGAAGGCATCATTAAAACATCAACCTGGAAAAATTATAAGGTATTCAACATCAGCTCCGACAGGCCCCTATAGCTCCACCACTAGTTTTGCAAACAATTACCTTGACCCATTCCAAACTGACCCCTCTGAAAATAAAATTTCTTCTAAATCCACCGTTCCGTCCGTAACTCCTGAAGCTTCACATTTGAAAACACCCATTACTTCACCTCCAAAAACAAAAGCCTAAAAGGCGTCAACGAAGCCCTTCCTCCGACTCTTCAGACACCATCATAGAAAAAAAAAATACTTTTTAACAAAGAGGAAGATGTGTCGTGTAGCAAAACATCAAGTCGACAAAACATTTTTCCAATCACGCAAACCCAAAGACTTAAAAAATACTGTTAAACTTAAAAAATAAACAATTTAGACATTGAAAACCCTAAAAGTTTTCTCATGGCGAAAAGGATTTTGACTGTGGTTAGAGCAGGACATGGTTCAGAAAACATGTGGGCTATGTTGCGTGAATCAAAGCGCATTTGATGCCTACCCACCATTAGCCTACTTTGATAACGAGAATGAAAATAAGTTGAATCAACTCTGTTCAGGGAGGCTCCCTCTTTTTGTTTACCCCTCCCTGCATAGAGCTCTTAAGCTAACTTTCCGCCTGAACATTGGTGGTCTGTCTCCTGATGGCACCATAAAAAATGAGATGGTTACTGGCTGCAAGAGAGAGGCCGTCGGTGTCCTATCCACGGCCATGTTCAATCCAGAAGAGCAACCATAATTGCTTTTCACTATGGCTCTCTGGTTAGTATAAATGTCCGGGGCCTAAGGTCAGTCTCGTAGGGCGAGCTTCAATTGCGATCTTCAGCGCCTCGGGGTTAATGTTTGTTGTGTGCAGAAGACCCATTTTTTATCTCGCGACCGTGAGGAAATTTTGTCTTAGAGGTTCGTCCTCTATTCAGCATGTTTTGATAGACTATTGAGGGGTATTTTCCTGGCTGGTGAGCAAATCACTGGATGCGGCGTATGCTCTTGTCTTCGTGGATCCGTCGGGTAGGCTTTGCGTGCTGGATGTTACAATAAAGTATAAGGCTCTTCGTCTAGTTGGGGTTTGTGCGCCCAATGACAATGCGCAACGGTCTGATTTGGTTCGGCGGATCGCGCCGTTATTGATGACATCTCGTTCGGTAGATCTAGCGGGTGATTGGAATGCCGTCCTTGATCCCGATATAGCAAAAATCGGGTACTAGCAACCTGGATGTTAAGCCGTTTCGTAACTTTATCGAGGGTTTGTTCTCGTCGGTAATATCGAAATGAGCACCACCGGGACGTACTATGGACTTGGACGAGGGGCGGCAGTTCGGATACGGTGGTGAGCGCAAGCTACATCGACCGAGTTCTAATTAAGAGTGTCGACGTAAGGCTTCAATTTTATAGTTTACTCGGGTCATAGGCTTGTCCTGGTAAACTTAGATAAGCCTAAGGTTAAGATAGCTGGCTACTGGAAATTGAACTCATTATTTGGAGAGCAAGATATCCGGGACCAGCTTCTACTAATGCTACAGCGGGAATTGTCGGGGGCTGTGATTAGGAATAATAGGTGGGATTCTTTTAAATCAAAACTTAGGTCTTTTGCTGCTGTTTTTATTCGCCGACTCAATCTAGCAGGGTTAGCAGCGCAAAAGTCTTGAGGCAAAAGTAGATCGGGCGAACAAATCACATGTTAGTAGGGACGTAGCCTTAGCTAAGTTGGAGCTGGCCTCGTTGCTTGCCAAGAAGGATCAAGCACCAGTAGATAGGCCTAGGTTAAAAAGTGTCTTGCGAGGCTACGAACATGGCCGCTTCATTACTTACAGAGGAAGCTCATCGGTCATCTAGTCGGCATATCGCGAGCATCACATTGCCGGATAAGCGGACTGTGATTACATACGTGGGCATTTGTGAGGGTTTCCGTGACTACTTTCAGCTGTTTACCAGGGAGCCCTGTCTGAGCTCTGCTCAGTTCGATGCCTATTTAGCCGACTTTCCCCGCCTCGAGGCGGCTGAAGTGCCTGGATGCGATGGTCCCATTACAAAGTGAGATCTGGGATGCGCTGAAATAGGTTGACCGAAACAAGACTTCGGGATTAGATGGTCTTCCTTACGAAATGTACCTGAGCCAGTCGCCAATCTTCGTCCACTTGCTGGCACTGATTTTCAACACGTGGATGAAGCAGGAATCTATCTCTCAACGCTACACCAGGGGTGCGATCAAGTTGCTTCGCAAAAGCAAAGATGGTGGGGATGGGGTAGATAATTGTAGGCGTTAACGATGTTAAACAGAGTTGAAGATTTTAGCCAAGGTCTTAACTGGCCGTTTCCAGACTGTTCTCACTAGTCTCATTGGTCTCGAGCAGACTTCTGCTGTGAAGGGCAGGACTATTCAGGACAACCTTCATTTGGTACGCTTGATCATCGAGAACGTCGACAGTGATGTCGGGCTGATCAATTTTGATCAGTCAAAGGCTTTCGATGGGGTTTGACCATCGATTTCTGGAGGCAGTTTTTTCGGCCGCCGGTTTCAGCCCGAATTTTCGCACTTGGATTCGACTGCTGTATGCGTCCTCCGGTGCGCTGGTTGACGTGAATGGGGTAAGATCGAAACCTTTCATTTTGTTTTGCGTCATTCGTCAAGGGGGTCTGCTGTCTCCATTGCTGTAAGTTCGAACTAGAGTCAAGCTCAACATGGTCTTCCTTCCCCGCCGATCGTTCCAAGCCCGTTCCCTTGGCTGTGGTTTCGCTAGATAGTAGGACAGTGGAAATCTCGTTGATCCGTTCATGCGCGTCACTAATTAGATGACGAGTCATGTGGCTAACACAACCACCCGCGCCCAACCGGCCTGGAAGCGCTTTGGCCGGTACACCCTCTCAGCCTACCAATGGAGTGTCTTTAGGCGCCACTGGCGTTCCCAAATGCCACAGCGAGGAGGTGAGGTGCATTCAAGTCGTCATCATCGGGCAGGGGTCAGATATTTCCCTATAATCTTAGAAAGTTGGGTGACTTAGTCCCTTGTCCATCGGGAAGTTCCCTTTGGCACCAGGCGCCTCTCAGAACTACTCGGAGATGATGCCGCGGGGCGTGTCGTCCCCACCACGGGCGCGTTCCAGTATGCCCATAGCAGCGCGCAGTGTTGCGTAGAATCATTCGCGAATGTGTGCCGAAGTGTTGCCACCTTAAAAGCCTGTGTGTTATACAGTCTTGATAGTATTATTAGGCAGCCACCCCACGCCAGTTGTGAGAGCAATGGCATTAATAGGCAGGTCGTGCCCGAATCGGTCTTGGATCGCGTCAAGAACGTACGGCTGATTGTACTTTGCGATCTTTTCCTTGTTGCATGCATCTAGTGTGCAAACGAGATCGTATCTGTACATCCATGACAATTTCTTTCTTGGTCAGGATCACAAGGTCAGGCTTTCGGATGCCGCACTCAGTCTGAAGCCTAGGTTCCATTATAACGTCGAATTTTCGTTCTTTCACGATCTATGACAGGTATAGGACGACGTTGTCGTGGCGTTTCATTCGGAGGCCGCTAACGAAGCTGCAGACTTAGGCAATGTGGGGCAGGCTCACAAGAGCATTGCCACCACAATTGCAATAGACATCGACGGAACGACCACCCCGGAATAACCGGGATGGCGTGCCAATACAGCCTAAGCGAACACTAACGGCTTCCTGAAAATCAAGTCCGGCCAAGTTGGTGGGGGCATGATCCAGCCAGATGTTGACAGCCTGTTCCTTCTCATACCCCTGTAGGCCCCTTGTCTCCAACCTCTTGTAGAGATCTTCAACCAGACCCTATCAAGATGACATAACAGATCCTTTATACCGATAGGACATCAAACCGCGCACGACAGGATTGAACGCTATGGCAGCGTCTTCTTCATCACCGCATGGCAACTGGGAAAGGCGGCTTTATCTCAGAGTGGAATAGAGCATCTCTAGCGAGTTTACCACCAAACTGCCGAATCTCGAGGGAGCTTGTATCACGGAATTGGGACAATCCGCCGGACGGATCGACGAACTGCTTTGTCACCCTTGACGAGCTCGACCTTGTGGAGTCAGCCGAAGGTTAGCTGGTGTTGCAGACGCGGTAGCAAGAACCTTTTAAGGATGCTCAGCTTTTGTTGCAGTTTTAGTGCAAAAACGATCGAAACGGACTAGGAGTATCTCGAGATCGACCGGTGTTCGGGCAACGCCCTTCCAGCTGAACTGGACTCCGAGGTACCGAAATTCGGACACGGCAGTCACAATTGGTAGGCGCGTACCTTCGACCGATATCCATACATGCGTATCAACAAAGCTGAATTTCCACCTGTCTCCGCTTATGGAGAGCACACAGCACTTCAGGGCGTTAAGCTTAAGTCCAAGGCGGCCGAGGCCGACTACTAGTCGATCCAAGCGTTTTTGCATCTATTCAGGGGAGCTAGCGAATAGCATCAGATCATCAGCATAAGACATCTGATTGAGTACTATCGCGCCGATGGTAAATGCGTATCCCTCTTGTCCCTCTAGTATCTGATCCAAGGCCATATTGAACAGCTAGGGGGGGGAGAGGGTCCCGCTGCTTGACCCCATGATGTTTAGGGCGGATCAGATTGTTTCCTATCTGTAGCCTGCTCGTGCCGAAGTAGGACCGCAAATACTCCATAAGGAGGTCAGGGACCTCCTTCCGTTGGAGTATGCCTAGTTTTGCCTCGTGGGAGACTGGGTCGAATGCTTTTCGAATGTTCGCTGATGCGATCACCAGGTTCTCGCGTTTGGCGCGGGCCGTGTGTAGGGTCGCATTCAGTTTGAGGACATTTTGGCAATCCCGTCAAGACGTTTGAGTTAGGGAGGGATGCCTCAAGTCGGCTTGCAAGTACTTGATGGAAGACACGCACGAAGTAATTCCTGATGGCGATGGGACGGAACTGCAGAGGATCGCCGGGCACCTCAAGCTTCTTGATGAAAGTCACCCGGGAGGTGAAGATGTTGCTGGAATTGCCTCTTAGTAGTAGCAGGTTGAACAGAATGGTGATGACCTCTACGGGGATTGCCCGCAAGGTGGTAAAGCGGAGGCCATCGGTTCCTGGGGAAGATTCCTTCATAGATGCAATTACAGCAGCGATGACAGCCACCTTGATGGGCGCAGAGAGCTCGTTCATCGGCCCGGGATGGTCTCCGGCCGGGTCCGCATAGCAACGAGGTTCGAAAATCGGTTTCCATTTACGCAGAAAGTTCTCGTCAGAAAAGGCCCGTTCGGCAACGAGCCCCTCGTAGGAGAGGTTGCTGTTCGGCGACTGACTTTGGACTGCATTTTGTAGAGGTTATGCAGGAAGTTGTAGATTATGGTGCGCTGAGCGCGCCTCCTCATCACTCCTACCTTCACCGCCGGTATCACTCGTATGCTAACGGTCCTGTTTTTAGGGAAAATCTCGTAATACAGCAGAGAGAACCCGTTGGGATCACCGATGGCCTGCTTAGCCTTGTCCCGAACCACGGAGTCGGGGGTATTAGGAAGTATGCCGTATAAATATTCGGTAATCCCTTGGGTCATCTCCTGCTGAACGTGCTCGCCGGGCTGAGGATCTGTCATGTCCTGCTTCCAATCCGTCGGCACTTAGGTCGCAGGCTCAGCTTGGACCTTAGAGGCAAGGAGCCGTCGCCTTTGGACTGGATAGCCGTGACTGTGCGTCCAGGAAGAGGGGCCAGTTCGGTGTCCAGACCATCGGGTGGCGCCTGTAGGAAGACCTTCCACCGGATCTAGCGGGGTCTCCATTAGTTGGGTATTCGTTTATGGGGCTGTCGGGAACCGCGCGTGCTTGGTTACCGTCGGGGCCGGAACATTGGGCATCACTTTCAAGCGATTTCAGGATGGCCTTGTAGTCAACCTTCTTTCGCCTGCAGCAAATCTGGTCTCTACTGCGTGCTAAGTAGGACGCTATGTGCGAGTTCACGTTATACACGCCTATGGACAACGCCTCGCGCGCTCTATCGCAGCTACACACTAACTCTCCACGGGACCACCGAGCGTAGTTGCGGGCTTTCGAGCGACGTGAGGCGTCGCGCCTGTTTTTGATATCATTTATTTTTTTTGATTGTCAATTTAAGCCTTCCTCTCCATCCCCGACTGTCTGAAAGTTGTGGGCTTGAAGCTGCCGGTCATTTTGACCAGCCGCTGGAAATATGGAGAGACTGGTCACCTTCCTGCCCAGAGAAGGAGGCCACTGGAAGTCAGGTCCCAGTCGAACAAACCCCACCACTGTCCGTGTCTTTGAATACCGCCTCGCCTGTAATGGGCATGCCAGCTTTCGGGACCGGAGTGGAGAAACCCCCGGTTGGGTCAACATCTAAGCACCCATTCCCCGAAGAGTTTTCGCTCGCTGAAAGTGCAGTCATGGAGAAGGGAGAAGGTGAATGGCAGATTGCTAGCAAGGGCAGAGGGAAGCGCCAGACAGCGAGTCCTGTCATCTGAAGCCCCCCCCCGGGACGAAAAGCACTCCCTCTGTCAACATTAAGGGCAATTCCCCGGCCTCTAAACCTACACTCAGGGAATTATAGAAGAAATACAACCCAGCCTTTGAAAAAAAAAAAAAAAAAAAAAAAAAATAAAACTAAGAAATTAGATAAACAAAAGACCTCTTCATCTAAAAAGGACACACCCTCTACCGTCTCTGCCCAACAACTCACTTAGTCCCTCTCTGTAAGGAACTATCTTAAAAAGACCTTCCCTGTTTAAAAAGTCACTCCCTTCACATCTTCTGCCCAACATTCACCAGAAAAATCTTCTTCCCATCCCCCAACCCCTCTCAGTATAGACCCCAGCTCTTTCAGACAATCCTATATAGCTCACTGCACTCCCAGTTTTTCCATTAAAACTCCCGAAATGCCCTCTCTTTCAAAAGTTAAAGTCCGTCACAGGAATCAAAAGACAAAAGATGCCCAAACAGATGTAAAAGTCAGGGGAAGGTGTTTGCCGCATTTCCCCAGCCCAAGAGGAAAGTCCAGGGATTATGGAAATAAGATCAAGGATTTAAATTATCTCCTCTGTCAAGAATTGTGCTGACAGACATCGATGATCAAAAAAAAATTTCCACATGCTGATAGAGTATTGACAGTGATTAGAACTGGAACGGGGGCTCGACATGCATGGGCTACGCTTGATGAGGCAACAGCCTCTTTTAAGATGTCCCCCACCGATAACTATCGTTCAAAACGATAAACTTTAAAAAAAATAAGCAATTTTGTGCTGGAAGGGTCCCTGTTTTTGTTCACCCCTCCCTATATAGAGCACTAAAATTGACTTTCTCGTGGGATATAGGTGATCTCTCCCAAGACGGCACCATCAAGACTTAGATGGGCCACGAGTTGATGGGGGAGGTTGTCGGTATCCTGACGCCGTCCATGTTTAATTTAGGTAAGAAAGTAGTTGTGGAGTGATTTCGCAGTGGAGGCTTGTATTTGTACTAAATCGATCCTAAAATAGGTTCGACGTACAAAATGTTAGGAAATTGATATAATAGGTATAACGCAGAGTAATCTTGTGGTTGCTGACTACTTTCGTATTCGACTAACTGTCGACTACTGTCGTCCGACATCAACTGGCCCTCGTTTCTCTTACTACCCCTACCTCTATCGTGACCTTCAGCATCTCTGGGTAGATGTATGTTGTGTGCAAGAGACCAACATTTTCTTCTCGCGGTCATCAGAGCATTCTTTCTAGGGGGTTCTCCCTCTATTTAGCATGATTTGATGGGCGCTCGAGGGGTGTCTCTTGGCTGGTGAGCAAGTCTTGTGGTCTTGTCTTCGCAGATCTGGCTGGCAGACAGTGTGCTGGATGTTACCATAAAGGATAAGGCTCTACGTCTCATTGGTGTTTATGCACCCAATTTCCTTGCTGAGCGGCTTGCTTTATTTTGGCGGATAGAGCCGTTCATAACATCTCGTCGGGTAGTTTTAGCGGGTGATTGGAATGCCGTCCTTGACCCAGATTTAGATCGTATAGGGGAAAAACCGGGTACTAACGTGAAACCATTTCGGGACTTTATCTACAGGTTTGATCTTTTCGATAAGTACCGGAATGAGCACCCTCAGGAGGTAGCGTGGTCTTGGACATAGTGACAACTCGGCTCTTGGGATGCTTGCTAGCTACCTCGTCTGAGTCTTAGTTAGGAGTGTCGGTGTAAGGCTCTTAGGGTGTCCATGTTTTCATTATATAGTTTAAGCCTTCGCCGGCTTATAGACACGGTATTTAGTCCGACCCTACGCGGAATCGCCGTTTTCCTTGCTAGTGTTCGAGCTAGGGATTCCGTGTATGCCGATGACGTATCCATCTTCATGAGTCGCAGCGACATTAAGGTGGAGCAAAAGGCGCTTGAACGGCACGTGAAGGCGACAGGGTCCAGGATTGACTGCAACAGGTTTTCCGGCTTGCGGTTAAGTGCCTGGAGCGGGGTCGCGCTTCCGCGGCCCTTCAGTTGGACTGGCGGACCCGCCCACATTCCTGTGGCGTGTTTCGGACCCGGAATCCGGCTGAAGAACAATTGGTCAGATGTATAGGCGAAGATCAGAGTCGGTTTGGACTTGGCTTCGAAGGGAGTTATCCTTGAAGGGTAGGGTTGAGGCGTGTGCCACTTGCATCTTGCCCCTAATCCTTTACTGCTTGGCTGCACTTCCTCTTCACTGGACCAGTATGAATGCGATCGATCGTTTGTTGATCCCCTTGTGGGGTGGTCGCCAACATTGAGTCCATAAAAAACGCCCCTTTCCAACGTCAGTGTCATGGGAGGTTGTGATTGCTACACCTGGTGAGTCTGCTCTATGCCTCAAGGTTGGCTTTCCTACGCTGCGTTTTGTCGGAGGACTCTATTTTGGCGTCGAGTGTTAGGCTCTTCTTCCCATCACACCACCCACTCAAGGTGAGAACCGACGCGATTGTGGAGTTTCCTCAGAGTGTCAGTCAGCCTTCAAGGTCATTCTTCGATTACGTGACCTTTCTCGGCCTCGGTGACTATTGTATCATTAATTAGTGGAAGCGGTCGCGAAGGAAACTGTGTGACCGGCTCAGCTTGTTGGCATGAATGTTGCGCTCCGAATGGTCTTTGGCGCCAGCAGCGGATTATTTTAGCGACCCTGAGTTTTCGCTTAGCTGGCGATTGATTCGGAACGTGCTACCTCTGAATGACGTACTCCTCAGATGAGACGAGGCAGATTTGCCAGCGTTTACTTGATCTTATTTTGTTTCAGATTTGCCTCCTTTTAATTTATCCCTTTTTGCTTCTTTTTCTTTTAGTAATTTTAATTTTCTTGTATTTTATATTATTTTTTTAATTTTAGTTTTCTGTAACACCTCCCCCTACAAAAACAATTTTTTATACGTGATAATTTTTCGTCAGTTTACATTTTATTTCTTACGTGTTACTTTCTTTGCTTTTTAAAAAAATATATTTTAAGCCTTCTGTTATTTCTTTAAACCTTCTGTGTTCTAAATTTTGCGTTTATTTTGTCTAATCCGTCTTTTTTAATTTTCCGTTCATTTTCGGGCAGTCAAGTTTATAACGGCGGCCATATTGTAAAATTTGTTCTCTTTACGTATTTATTGTTTCGCATTTCTTTTGAAGCTTATCAACTTGATTATTGTAGTTTAAAATTCTTTGTCTTACTGTATTTATTTCCTTTGCACGTGTAGACGTTCCTTTTTCGTTTAAAACAAACTCCATGTCCTGCTCCCAGTCTTCCCCGTCCCAGGAAAAAGAACCTGAGATGCCTCCACCTCGGAAACGTTAAAGAAGTTCATCAGCAGAGGCGATGGATAGGAGGAAAAAACAAAACCACCTCCCATATTATCTCGCGGAGGATGCCTGTCGCATTTCCCCGGCACAGACTGAAAGATCCAAAAACTATAGCAAAAGGATAAAAGACAATGTAACTCTTGTCTGTAAGACAATATGAAGATAATGATGTAGAGGTACCAAACATCTTACAAACATCGCACCGAGTACTAAGTCGGAGACACTGCGGACGTGGGGTATGGTCGCGGAGGCCATACAAGCTTTTTATATTTCTCCCCAATGACAATCACACGAAAATCGAAACAGTATTTTTAAAAGAGAGTGCCAGTTTTGGTTACCCCTCCCTCTATATAGCTTTAGATCTGAAGTTTCCTTGGAATATAGGCGGTTTCACCCCTGACGGTACCATCAAAACTAAGATGGGCTAAGAGTCAATGGGAGAGGCTGTCGGTATCCTTACCCCGACCATGTCCAAAGCAGAACCCCAACCATAATCGGTCTGATAATGGCGCAAGTTTTAATGCCCAAAGCCTGAGGTCGGAGTCTCGAAGGGCGAGGATCGATCGTTACCTTCAGTATCTCCGGAAGAAGGTTTGTGTACAGGAAACCCATTTTCTTTTTTTTTTTTTTTATCACGGGACCGTGAAGACATTCTGTCTTAGGGATTCGTCCTCCATTCAGCATGTTTGGATGGACGCTCAGTAGAGTGTATTAACTGGGCGGTGAGCAAGTCTCTGGATGCGATGTGTGCTCTTGTTTACGCGGAACCGGCGGGCGGGCTTTGCGCGCTGGATGTTGGCATATA